AAGAGCGGATATCCAGAAAAATGATCCAAGAACCAGTCGTGCAGGCTAGCTTGAAGTGCTTTCCCATATAGGAAGTAAACGGTACAGGGATGAATGCATTTGCATGAGGGGGCCACCATGGCATCTTACTCGTGTGAATTAAGCGCAGTGTGCAGACATGACCCTAGGCAACTCTTCACTCAGTTTCGCACTCAGTTTCTCAGCATTATGACTGTAGCAGTGCTCGCTTGGCAAGGGGTAAGCTGGCCACTGAGAGTGGGAGCACCAGAACTTCCTATTAATTTTGTGTGGACAGCTTTTTGACTCTCCCACTGTTAGGATTATGAACGACCTCTCCTTCCCTGGAGATAAGTGCAGGAGAACAGCAAGTGATACACCTTTTTGCCAGCACGTTGGTATCATCCCAGGGTTTCATTGGTTGTGTTAGTCCTTGGGGCTCTGGAGACCTTCTGGACTGATTCCAGTTGTCTTCAACATCAAAACGTGATCCCGTCTCCATGGCCTCAGGGTCCGAGCAGCTTTGCTTACACCACTGACAGTATGAAGAATGTGGAATATTCACCTTTAGAGACTTTTATTGGTGTAGCAATACCCACCAATCTATGTCCTGAAAGCTTGGGGTATGGAAACTGACACCTTTGTTGGTGCTCCATTAGGATTTTTGTGAACTGTAAATCAGAAAGCTTGTAGATCTCTGGATGATGCAAAATGATGTCTAAGGCTACCCTGAGGAGCAGGAAAAGCTCCTGCCCTGGCCAGCCAGTACCTGCTTTGGCCCAGGGCTTGTTGGCTTGGTGGGGCAGGGATCAAATATCAAAGGGAGATTCTTCCCCAGCTTCACTTTTCATTGATTTCAAGTGGCGTCAGGGTCGCTCCACCCCACCATCGCCCTCGCTGCAAAGCCTATGTGCAGATCTGTGTTTGGACTAGAAGCCTAATGTTCTGCTGTAAAATAAGTTCCTTGATTTTCACAATTTCACCTGGATCTTGCTTCATAATTTAGGGCAGCTCTTCCCCTCCATTGCCTGCCTGGAACTCACATGTCTATATAATGATTTGAGCCACTCGAGTCAGCAGATCCTGAGTCAGCCACGTCTGGCCGAGATCCCTGAACTCTCCCATACTTTTTACGAGGCGCTGCCTTTTCGATTGTGTTCCCTCCAGACTCTGTCGGCAGCATGAATGAAGATCAGCTCAATAAAAAGTATCTATGCAATAGCTTTGCTTTTGAAAAAGCTGAATTAGTGTTTACATTGCCATTGAATGTGTAAAGAAATATTGATTTTTTTTAAAACAAAGGAGGGATACAGAAAAGGAAATAGTGTTTCCACGAGCTAGCCTACCAGCTCTTTTGGCTTCATTGCTTGCCTGAGTGGATGCAAGATGGTTTTAGTCTATTAATTTGGGCCTGGCTTTAGGAGTATATTAAGCTGGCAGCCACGGGTTTGTAAGGTTTAAAGCATAAAATGCTTGTATTTGCTTCAGTGTGAAAACTGGCAATAGAGCAAATTATAATTAGTTCCCTTTGCACTGCTTTTAGTGCTTGCATGAAGAGGGAAGGTCCCTTTGATGTCTCTAAATTTGTGTTCTGTGCAATCTGTTTGTTTTCAAAGGGGTTCATGAAATTTAGCTATAAAATTCAGTGGCCTACATCTCATTCAAGGCCTTTGAAAGTTGAGGGTGAGAAGCAGATGGTCTAGAATGAATAGATGAAAATCATCTCACATCTACTCAGGCTAGCTGTGCTGCCAAAGACATCATTTTTAATACCACTGCTTGATAACCAATGGAAAAAAAAAATCTCACAGACTCCAAGTGCCTAAGGGATTTTAATGTTAAAAATGCAATTCCAGCTGCTGGATGAAGATGCTTTGAATGCATTCTCAAAGACTGGCACGGGTTCCTTACCCCTTGTGAAGTCCTAAATGGTTTGCAACAGTATTTTCCCTTGAAGCTGCGTGCTCCTCCTGCAGAAGTTGCTGTTTCTCCGGTTGGATATGAGAGAGGCTCCAGTGGCTGTGGTATGAGGATTTGATTAGCAATACCCAGAGCCAGGAGAAATGAAGAGGAAAACGTGTCTGGGATCATCTGCTCTGTCCCTTGGCCAGAAAGTAGAGCCGTTCACTGCTGCCTGCTCTCTCCTGGTTTGTTCAGCTGTTGAGTGTGTGGTCAGGAGGTTTCTGCTCCTCCCCAGGGAGACGATTTCACAGCTTTTACAACTCTTCCTGTTAAGTAAATTTCCTGATATTTGGAAATGACGTGAATGAGATGAAAATCTGTCTTATCATGCCATTAGGATTCTCATTGGAAGCTGCAAGTCAGGGTTTGTATTACTAAATATATACAGGGCTGCCAAACCGAAGCATTCAAAAATGATGCGTCAGGTTGTCTGAAAATCATGGCTCGCTCAGAAATCAAGAGCTTTCCAAAATAATAAATGTCAAAGTCTTTTTGGTTTTTTTTTTTTAACATCTGGATTATGAATATTTTGGATTCTGACTTGCACTTCTTCTCCACATCAATAGTAGCTGGAATGTCATGTAATTATAATTCTTTTAGATGAAAGCTGGGGTCCACAAATTGATGTGAAGCCAGACACTGGAGCTTGGAGGAAAATGCCGAACACCAAGAGATGGGTGATAAAACTGTGAGAACAGATGGTATGGGTTTTATGTATTTTTCCACCTCTTCCTATTCTTTATAGTCACCCCAGCGCGGTCCCTTGCCTCCCTGCTTCAAAACCCACATAACAGGGCATGCAGCGCACAGGAGTGAAAAAAGAGAAGAGGAAGGCTGGGGAAGGCGTTTACATGCTATATAGCTGCTGTGCGTAGGGGTTGTTCGGCAGCATTTCTGAACTTGTGCATCAGTCCTTGCACAAGCACGTCATCTTTTGCCTCCTGCGGCTCGTGCTGTCGTTCCCCACCCGCCCCGCTGCCCGTCCTGCCTTCCCCTGGGCACAGCACTCTGCATCGCCCCTCGGGCCGTTACCAGCTGGAGGTGTCCTGCTGATGGACCCAAGCCTGTAGGAAGAACAGGAGGTTAAAAACCGTGGAGGAACGGTAAG